GGAGTGAAATCTTTTCATGTATGTAGTTATAGTTGACACGTTAAGCCTGAATAATGTTACTAGTAATTGAGCAACTGTTGTCTTCAGTGCCTCAGGTGGTTTACTTAACTGTCAACCACCGTTTGTCTGTGAAGCTCAGCAGGGAARGCAAATGTTGGCTCGAGATGCAGCGTTTTGTCTCTCAGTGAAACTATACTATATTCTAAAAGCTGGCAGTCACGACAAATGCATCCAAAAGTCAGCTTCAACCGTTTTTTAAATATATCATTATTATTGTTATTATTATTATTATTATTATTATTATTATTATTAATATATTGTATACGTTTTCCCGATAAGCAAGACGTGTTAAACTTACTTGCAGTTTAAAAACGAACGAATATTAATAGTAATATCAATTAATAATTTTTATTTTTTCGTCGTGATACAAGGTGTCATTGCCGAGAGTCTTCTTAGCCAGAGGCAAATGTTTAAGATTAGTCATTAGTTAAGGAAAGAACTGGGTCGAGTTGGCGTTGCAGGGCATTGTGGGGCTGTTTTAGGGCACATATTTCCAAGATGGCGTCTATTTCGTCATCTAAAAAAACCCAACAATGCACTGCAATACCAACTCGACCCAGTCTTACTCAACCTCGGAATAGCGAATACGACACACTCTGACGTTCACTACCTCTACAATTCACATGCTGACAACGTTACCTTAGAATTAAAATTAACAACATAATAAGATAAATTCCCCATAGCTTATATTCGTTATACAGATCTTGATGACGTGTAGTCTAGTCACATGCACTCAGATCTTGATCACGTGTAGTCTAGTAATGCGTTTGGGATGTGATCACGTGCTATCTCTAAGTTAGTCTATTCTAATCATAGTCTATTCATGCAGGCGCATGTGCATATCAATGTCACCTGACATGTCACATGCACACAGATCTTGATCACGTGTAGTCTAGTCACATGCGTTAGGGATGTGTTCGCGTGCTATCTCTAAGTTAGTCTATTCTGATCTCAAATCGTTTGGTGCTTTATTTTAGTTACTAAAGGCTTTCAAAAACAAACTTAGGGGTTAGACGGTGCTCCATCATGCGCTTCGGGTTTCTTCTCAGGAGTCTCATCTTCCCTGCCCGCTGCACCAGAGCTGCTGGCTGCACGTTCCTGATGAAAATGTATAGAAAGGTTATAAGAAGTTGTTAGTCTAGGCAATGCCCCTTATCTTGTAATTTGGTTGCATGATAAAAGAATGCCTTGCAGATGTACTGACACTAGGGCAGAGTGGGTTACAAATGTTTTGAGCATTTTGTGCCATACATGCGACTATAAAAGACTGGGCAGTAAGTAATTTACGCGCGATCGAGCCTGTTATAACAAATCGTTTCAAACGCCTAAGTTCCGGTATGAGTATCCTGGCACTAGGTAATATCCCGTAATCTGTTGTAGCATTGATTAGTCTCTACTCTATATGTCAGAGGCCGTGTGGGACTTGGGGGCGAGAGAGCTCCGAAGCCGTCATTGTTTCGGTTACAGATCCTCACGGCCCTCTTCACTAGTTTGTGAAAAGGGTCCGTGAAGATCTGGGATCGAAACAAATGACGACTGCGAAGGAGACTAAGTAAGCACTGATGCGAAAAGTACAACTGGATTCTTCTCGCTTGGCTTCCAACAATTGCGACAGCGCGATAAAAAATTGCCAGACAATTTTTGGAATTTTTCACTTCGCAGTATTCCTTGCATCATGTATTTCTTCGTGTCGCGGTACAAGTTGCGGAGATATCTGAGTAGTGTAACAGCAACGACTTTCACTATTCTTTCTTTCTTTTCTTTTTACGCGCTTTTTTAAATCGGATATCAAAGAACTGGGTAAGCCTTACTTATAAAGCACATCGTATTCTCAGCCAGTTAGTTAATTAATACGTCCTTTACCTTTAGCTTGACCCAATCACCAAATCCCCTGGAAAAAAAGAAAAGAAAACGTCTTATTGAATCGTTGTAATTTACGTTCAGTGGGTCAAACAATACGTACAATAGAGTGGTTTTCAAAAACCCGTGAAATACACTTTAATACACTTTATTGGCCGCATTTTCTTTTGATTTTCTTTCGAATTGTACACGAAAACCCTCCTAAGATATCTACCTCATTACTTACTCTATCAACTGTTTTGTTTTATTTTCGTCCAGCTCAGTCTTGCGAAGGTACAGCCTTATCTTCCATTCTAAGAACGCTTTAGGCAACATGTAGCTAACCTTTTAAATGTAAAGAGAAAAAAAGCTTCATTATATTACGATTTCAAACCGTTTAACGTGTGTTCGGGTCCTACTGCTTATAAAAACCGTTCGACGTATGTTCGGCTCCTATCTCATAAAAACCGTTCGACGTATGTTCGGCTCCTATCTCA